AATGATTCTATAGTAAAGAATGTAATTTTTTCCTTTAAGACTTTGTCCTTGAGAAAATGGTATTTGAAGATTTTTCAAGTACACTTGAACTTAGCTAATTTTAAACTAGACAGGAATTAATCGATTATTTCGGTTATTTTACCTGCCAAAATAAGTGAATAAAATTTTTCCATTTTCAAAAAAATGTTATTTTTGAGACTTGAAATTGAATTTTCTCGAAAACCAAGAGGATTGTAAAAAAATTGTGTTCTATGTTTTAACTTATTTTAATGACCTCCTGTTCGTTATTTATTTCTGATCAAGTTAGAATTAGTTAAATTTAAATACGCTTGGTAAATTTTCAAACTTTTATCGAAAATGAAGCCCTAAATAATAAAATTTTATTCTCCCTTTTCTCCTTGTTGTATCATCGACTCTGATATTCCAAACACACCCTTTGCACTTTTAAATTTCCCAAAAGATACACGAACATCCTAATAATTAAATTAATTAATAGGTATTAACGAATGACTGTGCTTCTCTTGACAGCTTCTCTTCATTTAGTGTGAACAGTAGCCACGAAGATTTGCAACGTCGTTTTATACGGATTTTAATAAGGATTGTATGATGATCAAGGATGTTTCAAATATGTATAATTAGATAAAATAATTAGATAAAACGTTGAACTCTTTCTATCGGGCAACAGTAAACGCGACAAGTGAAGGAACCACCGTTCACTGTTGAGCGTGGTAAACCCTTTTGTGACCGAAAGTGCTCTTCGTCACTCCTTGACCAATCCTCTTTATCTCCTTTTCTATCTTTGTCCGAACCCATGGCACGTGTTATTTTCCCTCTTGGATTTTTCTTTGGGGAAAATGTCGAACACGAATGAGTTTAGTGTCGACTAAACTCGAGGAATTCTCCCGCTTTTATTCGAAATAACAGAACATTTCGATAGAGGATATTTCGTATAATGGATTCGTTCTACTGTATTCCCAATAGGTACTGCGCGCCAGCTAATGGAGAAGAATTTAGCGGATCGGTTAACCATTTGTTCTTCGTTTCTTATTCGTTACCGATACGAACCACTCCTGGGTTGAATAACAGGCGATGAAAAACGGATACTTTACGAGAAAACGAGTCTATTG